AGAATAAATTCTATCATGAATTGAGTATGTAGAAATTACTTAATGTGATTTCTTAAGTTATGTGATGAAATTGGGCATTCCATGTGATTACATGACTTGGTACCTTGAAGGTATTTGATTAAATGCCTATATGAAATTAAATGTGTTAATTGCATTAGATTATGTGATAACATGTTTATAAATTTGTTGTTGGGTATAATGTTGATATATGCTTAATGATATGTTGACATTTTGATGATTTATGAAAATTATGTACTTTGGATATAATTGGCCATATGGTATGTTGAAATGGTTCATGTGACACTCATAACATATTAAACATGATGTTAGTATTACAAATGTACACTACATTTGCATATGTACGGAGACATCACATTCATGGGCATTGTGCATGAGTGTAGGTGTGCATGCATGTTTTAAAATCAAATACCATTCTTGGTGGTTGGTAAGTGGGCTCGGTATAGTTGGACCAAGGTTCAATAGAGTCACATGGTTGAATGAAAAATTTGTGTCGGATATAGCAAGAAGGGCTAGACTCTCCATCGGGTGCAAGACTCGATTACTTGTTTATACACTTTCGATGGTGCAAGTCCAAAAAAACGTATCGGTGTGTGGAACCGGTGGTGAGACATCAGAATCCGTGTATCCAACAAAGACACCTGATTTTGTTTTATAAAATTGTCATTCGATATGTAACATTAATGACGGATACTTAAAATGCCCGATTTTCATGCTCATGGCATTGCATATGTTGAGGGAGTCGGTAAATGCTCGAGTTGATATGCATGAGTGAGTTGCTTTAACTTTAATATTATAAACCTAAGCGCAGATTGAGCGAAGTAATATAATTCTTGGAAGACCAAGGTCGAACCCTTAAAGAATTGTAAAATAGCAGCAATCATACAAATACTATAACAAACTTGTGAAGACAATTTGTGTAAAAGATTGTTGAGTTGAGAATATTGATTTAAGTAATTAAAATAGTAAAATAAAAATACTAGAACATCAGGTATTCCATCTCAATTTCATATAATAATGATTAAAAACTTAATTTTTAACCTTAGACTAGAATCAAATGTCGGTTAATTTAAATCACAGAATTAAGCAATTTATAATCAAAGAATTATTTAGGAACCTGAATAATCATCCAATTATATTATTATATGAAATAATGATAATTAAATTAAGCGTGAAATAACCAGTTATTTACTGGTAGGGATATTCAAGCAATCAATGTACATGACACAATGACTAAAGGATTTTTACAGAGCAAAAATTTTGCTAAAAAATCAAAAGTTGAATTAACAAAACATCACATACCATTAAACTCATAAGTCAATAATATTACCGTACTTCATTGAGGGGTCCTCCCCTAGCCCTAGTTAAATCTTTTAGTCAGACATGACAAACTAAAATCAAAATAAAAAGATGAAAAAAAATAATAATCTCTAAATGAGAACCCCTATTTATACTAAAAATAAATCTTAAGTATAGGTAGAAGATATAAGGTTAGGTTGGAAGAAATTCCTTTTCCAAAAAGAAGTTTTGTAAGGTTAAATCCCGTGCATAAAATTTTTGGGGCGCGGGTACAAAATCTGTTAAGATTTCGATCTTAGATTTTGAATATTTAGAGATTGATTCACGAAAATTTTGTAAAATATACTTTTGTAGCCCTTGAAGTTTTCTTTTCAACCCCCAAAAATCAAGTAAATCGGATATCAGAGTTAAAAGTTATGACCAAAATACTGAAGACGTGTCAAATCCTTATCTTCTAAGATACTTTCCTAATCCAACTCTAAATGAGTTTTTTTCCAACTTGGACTTTTATAAGAATTAAATTGCTGTCATATCTTCAAGTCTTCCTATTTCAATCTTGACTCTTCAATCTTTATCAATTGTGATTATTTCTCTAGTAATTGTTTCATTTGTCTTATTCATTATTACTTTAAATCAACCAATTTGCCTGCAAAATAAACCAAACAACTAGAAAAAGTATCAAACTAGAAAATCAAGGAATTTAACACATTTAAGCATAAATAATATGTAATTAATCAATCATTAAATATAATAAAATAGCAATTTTGATGGTTAATCATGAATCTTATCTTATTTCATGGCATGACATGATGATTCATATCATTGAATTACATATTATTGATTGGAATGTATGTTGCTTGTTATATTGTGCATGCAAACATTTCATATGCATCTATGTTGGGAAGTATTCTTTTTAGGATATCTTATTAAGTGTGGCTCATCCTTTATGAAAAAATATTTTAGGTGCGGGGTTACACACTGATGGACGGCTCGCAGTCGAGGCCTCAGGGATGAAGAAAAGCCAGAATGTGGATTTATTTTGGATTTTTGTAAAATTTTGTAAAATTTGATTTTTGGGCATGTAAAAATATGAAAAGGATTGTAATCAAACTTGTACGAACTATATTTGATGTGGAAACTTCATTTTACATGTTTTTGATTGATAAGGAATGGATTAGAAACCAAAAACGGGTGAAACAAGGAAAACTGGGCACACCTATCAGTAGAACATTTTGCTCCTCTACCGATAGATGTGGTCCAGAAGGCAGGTTCTACCGGTAGAAGAATTCCAATAAGCTCTTTCTACCGATAGAACAAGAACTTTTTCTACTGGTAGGTTTTCACAGATTTTCTAAAAACAGGAATCCTGTGCACAACTTCTATCGGTAGGTTTTTGAACACTTCTACCGATAGGTTTTCTTAAAAACTTCAAATTTTTGAAATGAAATGTTTTACTAAGCTCTTGGGCATTTTTTCCTCTTGCTCAAATCTGGTTAAGGGATGTAATTGATGATAAACTAATGTATAAAGGATCACGGATGTGTGGGTTAAGATCCTGATTAAAGGGATGCTATTGACATGACGTCGGGTGGTGCGACGATCATTGATACATTCGCGAGTTGACGGGTGATCAACGGTTGACAAAAGACCCGATTTTAGGGGCGTCACAGTTATGTTGTTTGACCCATTGGAAGAGTGAATATTGGGTGTAATCGTACAATAATAAACAAATAAATTAGGAAGTGAACCTTATTTTTTGAATATGTAGTGGTTATTATCTTATGTGGAGGAGTGATTATTTGAGATAGTGAGGTCTATTTTACTTATTTGTTTATTTATCACTGGATGGTTACACCTAATATTTTTTCCTAATGGACATTGTATCTATTCTTGGGTTTCTGCGTCTGAATCTTTTTTCTCTTTAGGATTTGGAGATTGAGAGAGAAACTATGACTAGTGTATCTTGGCCGATAGGAGTCGCATACATATAATTTATGATCCTTAAATTCTTATTGGCTTCAAGACTCTCAATTATATGTTTTCATTTGACAAATCTTGAAATTCAGTGTTTAGTGTAATGACAAGCGGAAGAATACCATTGGATTGCCATTATTTCATAGCCTTGTAATAAAATTATTTTGCAATTGCGGTAGGTATGTCACTTATTCACTATCTCCTCTTACGCCCTCACCCTTTTTTATTTTTTTAGTGGTAGAGGGCCGAGGAACCAGGTGCCATCAATAAAAAGAGTTTTTGATGAAAATTTAAAGAACTCCAATAAAGTTTTCTATTTTAGTAAAGGAATAGCTTTAATAGTCTATAGCCTTTAGTAATAATAAAAACTAAAAAAAAATATGTTATCTTTTTATTTATGATTTTAACTAGTCTAAATAGAGAATTTATTAGAGTTTAATTTTTAAAAATAGAGAAATGTGTGAAAATAAAAAATCCATTCCTCTAATGGGGCCCCTACATAATTATGAGATAATGGGTGGTCCAACAAGTTCAATCACATAAATAAAATTTATATGTATTCAGCAAGATTAATGGGGATAAAGATTAATCAATGTCGGAGTGCTGACAGTTCTTTATATTTTTTTGGGCTGGGTGTTATTGTCTTTGTCGGCCCATTTTCAGAATGAGACAGCCTATCATAATCACACTAATAAGTAATAATTGCTGCAGCAACTACAAAAAATAGTTACGACAAGAAGGAAAGAAAATTGGGGAAAACTTTTTTTGTGGGGGTTAAAAAATAAATAATTAAAAACTAAAGTTGTAGCTATCNTAGAAGGAAAGAAAATTGGGGCAAACTTTTTTTATGGGGGTTAAAAAATAAATAATTAAAAACTAAAGTTGTAGCTATCCAACCAAGCCAGCAGATGGGGTGTCCTCGTCAATCTTCACAAATAGTGTAAGTTTATTACTTAACTTTATTTTATTGATACCTCCGACCTCCAAGGTGTAGCTGCCGTTCGTAACGTTCTTCTTCTTCTTATTACCTCTCAAAAAAAAAAAAATAATTACACAGGGGGTTTCTAAAGTATGAGATTTATCTCATTTTGATTTTTAATATTTTAATTGTATAATTTTAGTCCTTGAAGTGTTGAATATATTTTTATATATTCCTCCAAGAAGACGACATTTAAATTTTTAATAATTTTTTATCATAAACTTATCACGTAATACCTAAATTGATTTTGATAGCTCTTAAACAAAATTTGGGCAACTTTTGACAAAAAAAATATATAATATGAGTGATTTTTGTCCAAAATTTGGATAGTTCATGATCAAAATTATGTAATTTAGTTAATTATTTAACTAAAATTTGAGTAAAAATTTGGTCAAAAATTATCCAAATTATTATTTTTGTTTATATTTAAGTATCACATGACAAATTTATGATAAAAAATCGTTAAAAATCTGAACGTTGTCTGTTGAGTGATCATATAAAAATATATTTAATATTTTAACGATTAAAATAATATAATTAAAATATTACGGAATTGAAATGAGACAAATGTTATATTTTGAAAACTTCCGCCGCAATTAACCCAAAAAAAAACAAACAATTTTCTTCTATAGTCTCAGTCCGAAATTTTCATCTTCCAACAGCAGAACCCTTATCAAATCTTACATATTACAGCCTTTAGGCTACAGCTACAAAAATATCCAGCACTACTATGGAAGTTGTTGAGGACATTGTGATTGTTGGAGCTGGTATTGCCGGCTTAGCAACATCCTTGGGCCTTCACCGGTACCCCCTCTAACTCAAATCTTCTCTCTGTCTCTCTCTCCCCCTCCTGGGCATATATATATATATATATATATGTGTGTGTGTGTGTGTGTGCACGAAATGATATCGTCAGAGAAACAGAACCCCAAAGAGAAGACAGCAAGTAGACACCAATTTTAGCTACTCCATCATCATTTTGGCGCTCTCTCTCTCTCTCTCTCATATTCTGTACATGATGTTGAAGAAAAATGTTAACTTACTTAAATTTGAGGGTTTTATATTTGTTGGATTAAAAAGTGATTTACAACTTTTTAAATGAAAGATAAATATTTAACTAATCTAGTAGTTGTAATGAAATAATTCACCGAATAAGTTCGTATAATGTTTATCAATGTTAAAATAAGAGACTGTTAGCTGATTTGATAGGTTGGGAATCCGAAACTTGGTATTGGAGTCACCAGAGAGTTTGAGAATCACAGGGTTGCATTTACAACATGGGCCGATGCTTGGAAGGCAATGGATGCCTTGGGCATCGCTGATTTTCTTCGCCAACGACATGGCCGCTTGCACGGATAATAACTTCCAACACATTAATTTATGGGCTTTTCTGGTTAGTTTATTTGAGTCAATGGATCGATGCACTAGACAATCCATTTTCAAGACACCATATTTTTTTCAATTTCCCTCTATTTATATAGTTTTATGTGAAGATATGAAGGATTTAACCCATTTCAATTTAAAAGTGTATTTGNTCAGAGAGTTTGAGAATCACAGGGTTGCATTTACAACATGGGCCGATGCTTGGAAGGCAATGGATGCCTTGGGAATCGCTGATTTTCTTCGCCAACGACATGGCCGCTTGCACGGATAATAACTTCCAACACATTAATTTATGGGCTTTTCTGGTTAGTTTATTTGAGTCAATGGATCGATGCACTAGACAATCCATTTTCAAGACACCATATTTTTTTCAATTTCCCTCTATTTATATAGTTTTATGTGAAGATATGAAGGATTTAACCCATTTCAATTTAAAAGTGTATTTGCAAAACCCGTCTTTATATTAAAAGGCATGGTTTAAACGTGTGCTTTTAAAGAATGGTGAAATAAGTTAAAACCAGATGAAGTATAAAAAAGGTGGTAATTTGGTAAAAAAAACTATTTTACTTTGCAATGGATCGACATTGTATTGATTTTTGATTTGGAGTTGCTGACTAGATTCTGATATGTTATGTATGATAATTGTTACCTCTTTAGTTACTGGACCTGCCACTTCAAAATTGTCATTTGTGGCCAAAGGGAGACAGTAAGTTTATCATAGACTCATATCACACCGGATTGGTAATTTTTAAACTTATATTACACATTTAGTACATAGATTACCAATGTTACAAGTTTACAAAAAACATACTCTCATTATCCAAGAAACTAGATATAATAATGCTATCACATCTTGAGAGGATAGAAATATCTAATAGCTTTAATAAGAAGAGTACAATAGATACTGAAGAAAACGAGAGAGAGAGAGAGAGAGAGAGAGAGAGAGAGAGAGAGAGAGAGAGAGAGATTGGGCACAATTGGGCTTTTTCTTCATATTTGTGAGAGGATGTCGATGTATGATGTGCAGGGGAGAGCATGAAGTTCGGTGTACTCAAAGGAAGTTATTGTCGGAAATTCTTGCAAACGAACTACCGAGTGGTACCATCAGGTACTCTTCCAAGGTGGTGTCCTTTGAGGATTCTGGTCATTTCAAGTTGGTTCATCTTGCTGATGAAACCATCCTCAAAACCAAGGTGCTTGCTACTACATTTAGATTTGTTTGATTTATTTCCAAAACATTGGTATCAAACCCAAAAAAGAACATATTGATTTTCTCCCAATTAAAGGAATCATAGATGCGATTATGTACTTTACGAACGAGGTCCCTAGTTGAAGTCCAACATGACCCAGCAAAGATCAAAATTTCATTTTAATCACCTAGTAAACAAAAATGTTTTAACATGTTTGGGAAACAGAATAAAAAAAATAAAAAATTTAAGATTTATTTTTCTAAAATATTAGTCGAATTATATCAAAGTATCTTAAAATATCTCGAAACATTGTGAAATAATTCTGCAAATACGTTGAAACATTACAAAACACCTTGAAATATTATGAAACACTTCCAAATATTAAAATTTCAATTCCATTACTAATTCATTTCGATCTCCTAGAAAACAAAAATATTTCAAATGGTTCGAAACAAAATTTTGATCATTAGACCCAACTATTAAGAGGGCCAACCATGTGATAGGTGTCTACAGCAATAATTGAATGGGCTGAATGGGCTCACTTTTATTTTTCACTGTAGACTTTGAGGAAACTTGAGACCATTTTATTTTCCTGATCTTAACACTATGCTAATGTGTATACTAAAGGTGTTGATTGGATGTGATGGAGTAAACTCGGTGGTGGCAACATGGTTAGGTTTCAGCAAGCCATCGTTCGTGGGCCGGTCAGCCATTAGGGGTTTTGCAGAATTTGAGAGCAGTCATGGCTTTGGGACCAAGTTCTGGCGGTATGTTGGGAATGGTGTTAGAACAGGGTTCATCCCCTGTGATGATCACACTGCTTATTGGTTCACGTCGATTTTTCATTTTCTCTTCAATTCTTTTCTTACGTCATTTAAGTCCTCATCATTCTATGAACTTAAAGATGGTGTGTCATTATTTAAATGAATTGATAAACAATGGACCGGCACCATTTCAATATCCTATCCCTAGAGGCGGGCAAGGATGGTCGGCTGTGGCTCGGACCATGCCAACCCTTATGGGGCCTGTTTGGATGTTTTTTTCTGGCAGGATTGGATTGCATATATGATGTCTTTTCAAACCCAATCCCAAAAATTTATATTTGGAATTCAAACAAATATCGTATTTAATCTCTATGTTTAGTAGGTGATATAAATACATGTAGAGTTTATGGGATTCATGACAAATCATAGTACTCAATTGACTAAAATGTCTATTATTAGATGAATAAAAGTAGGGGTGTCAATCGTACCGTGTTCATGTGACCCACATGTCGTGTTATTCGTGTCGTGTCATTGTTATTCGTGTCGTGTTCGTGTCAAGATCCACGTCTATTTAGTGTGGTCTGAATATTAAACATTGAATAATGATATGTATCCCAAATTTGTAACTCAAATTTACATCACAAATCAAGGAGAACCATTAGATCAGTGAGTCTTGATGGGTTAAGCCCAAATAGTCCAATTTATGTATTAAAGCCCAACCCCGGTTGAGGAGCCCAACCTCATCGTGAACCCACCAAGTCCAAGACAGACCAAGGCCGGCTAGACTTCTTGCTTAGCACGTCACCAAGAGGAGAGTACGGTTGGACTTCTTGCTTAGCACGTCACCAAGAAGAGAGCACGAGAAGCTTATCAACGGTCCAATCTTTGACCACGTTTCCTTCAAGAGTTCCCCAAACTCTTCCTTCTGTGGAGGATAAGTCGCGATCTCCACCAAAGATAATCTCTAAGCTGCGATAAAGAAGCCTTGAGGATATGTTATGATCTCCACAAGAATGATCTCTTATCTACTATAAAATGACTCTAATCTGAGAGAGAAAGGAACACACACATGCTCCATCAGAGGCATACAGAAGACGAACCGACTACCGGAGATTATTATTTTTCTTTGATTCTCCATTCTCTCTCTCAAAGCTTGTATCTCCATTCTCTATACCTTTNATCATAGTACTCAATTGACTAAAATGTCTATTATTAGATGAATAAAAGTAGGGGTGTCAATCGTACCGTGTTCATGTGACCCACATGTCGTGTTATTCGTGTCGTGTCATTGTTATTCGTGTCGTGTTCGTGTCAAGATCCACGTCTATTTAGTGTGGTCTGAATATTAAACATTGAATAATGATATGTATCCCAAATTTGTAACTCAAATTTACATCACAAATCAAGGAGAACCATTAGATCAGTGAGTCTCATTTAAAAAAATTGATGAGACTCACTGATTTAATGATCCTCCTTGATTTGCAATACAAATTTGTGATACATAACACTACTCTTAAACATTAGTTTATATTATTTATTATGCGTATTTAATAATTGTGTCAATTTTATAATCGTTCGTGTCAGATTTGTGTCAACGGGTCATAGCTGACACCCCTAAATAAAAGAATGAATTTTTGGATAAAACAGTCTTTGTATCTACAAATTTCATCTCTTACTTTTGAAACCCCCCCCCCATGGGTTACATCAAACTCCATACACGGATTTTAATTTTTTCATTGCGGGTTGAGAGTGATGGCGAAGGCGGGGCTAGTAACTGGAGTGAAGTCGTAACAAGGTAGTCGTACTGGAAGGTGCAACTAGATCACCTCTTTTTTAGGGAGAGCTAATGCTTGTTGGATATTTTAGTTTGACAATTTAAATTCCCCCGACGCTAGAGGATATTTTGCTATTTTTTTGTAAATAATTCTTGATATAATCTCTTATCTAGGATTCATATATCTTATAAATTTCGAACCTCAAATCTTGAATCAAACATGAATTTAGAAGGTGCATTAATTTATTTTTACAAAACCCACCTTTTAAATCTCATCCAAACCCATATACCAAACATGACCATGTAGTGTCAATTTTGCCCGCATGTAACTTTTGTGGGGTGAATTGAAATGTGGTGCACTCCCATCATTGAACTAGATTATGTACTGAATTTCCACAATGTAGATAAAGAGATGGAGGGTGATCCATTGAAAATGAAGCAATTTGTATTGAGCAAGCTCGGGGAAGTACCTGATACAGCCAAGGCTGCCATAGGGATCACTCCATTAGAGAGTATCATAGCTACTCCATTAAGGTTCAGACATCCATGGGAACTGCTATGGGGAAACATCAGCAAAGGCAATGTCTGTGTAGCTGGAGACGCGCTCCACCCCATGACACCGGACATTGGCCAAGGCGGATGTGCAGCCTTGGAAGACGGTGTCCTCTTAGTGAGGTGTTTGGCTGAAGCTTTAAGAAAAGAACCAAGTGGTGAAACACAAGAGAAAGAGGAAGAAAATGAATATAAGAGGATTAAGAAGGGGTTGGAGAAGTATGCTAGAGAGAGAAGATGGAGAAGCTTTGATCTCATTTGTACAGCTTATATGGTGGGCTTCATAGAGCAAAGTAATGGGAAAGTGACGAGCTTTTTGAGAGAAATTTTTGGCTGGATTCATGTCTGGGTTGCCCCTGAAAAGGGTTGCTTTTGATTGTGGGAATCTCAATTTTTTTTGACAAATCTCAGATTTAATGTTACTAGTGACCTTGTGTAGTTTTTGAGTTTAGTAGTTTGTAGTTAAGTAACTATCTTGATTTTGTGGATTTTCTTTTGAGACATTGCTTGGAATAATGGAACAAACTTTGTAGGTGGTGAGATTTCTCCAATATATTTTCTCTATATTTTTGTGTTAATAGATCACCTATCATGAATTCAAGTAGAATTCTTTATATATAATTGTGTCTAACTCATTAATAGTGATGATGCACAAATTAGTTTGCACACCACTAGTCAAGTAATAATATAAAATGTAATAAAATAAATAGAGGAAAAGAGGAAACAAGGTTTATAGTGGTTCGGTCAGCAAGACCTACGTCCACTTTCAATGGCTAGGTTCACCTGGAACTTTATTAACTCAGGGGTGTAGGGAGAGCAAGGATTACAAGAGAGAGAGGAGATGAGCTTGACTATTTTTCAAATGCCCCCCAAGTGTTGGGGGAGCTTACAATTTATAATTTTGTGTGTAGTAATTGGATAGCTAGTATGACGGTCATAATTGGGGCCATTTAATAGTAATTGAATCTCTTGGCAACCTCTCCTCTCCTTGGTGACCTCTCCTCTCCTCAACGGGTAAGAAAATTATGATGCACTCCAAAGGACTTGGTCAAGGTATATGGAAATGTTGACTCTCTCCAGGCCGTGTGGGATAGGTTCCAGGATGTTCCCTTGGTGGTGCAACTCCCTAATGAGCTTGTCTGGCTTGGACCTCGTTTGGGCTGGACTTTGCTAGATCTCTTGGGATTGGATCATTAATTTAAGTTGGGCTTATAATATGGGTTGGGCCCTTGGACTTGGCCCATCATTTGCCCCCCAATGCCCTGCGTTTAAGGAACTTAGAAAGGAGGGCGTTCGGTTTGACATATTATGGGCCTCATTTGGAGTTTCGGATCAAAAGTTACGATCAAAATAACGTACACACATTTTTTAAATTTTCTAAAAACTTCTCTTGGTTGGCGACCCCATCACTTCCAGGACCCCATCACCTCTAATAGACTCATTTTGCTTATAGGACCCCCTTAACTAAATAAGCTCCCTCCTTTTTTTTTTTTTGCTACTCCAAGAAGATTTTAGAATTCAAGTGTCAGCGTATGTGTACCTTATATTTGCTGTATGTACAGGGATATTTTTGTAAATACTTAAGATGTAACCCAAGAAAACCCTAGCTATAAATAGAGAGCCTCCTTTTCATCCTTACTATTTCATTCATTCTTGAGAGAAGTGGAGGTGGAGCTCTTCTTGAAACCTTCCAAGAACATATTGGTGTGACTTTTCTTGAGATCTTTGTAGACCCAAGGCTTGTTATTCTTGAGTTTCTGAGTCACTAATGTCGATTGTAGAGGAAGAGATTCAAGCTTCCATTGATATAGGGGTGCTAGACGCCCCTTTTGGGGTTGATTTTGCTGGTTTCGGCGAGCAAGGAGATGAGCATGACTTTGGCGAGGCTGGGCGAGCAAACTTGGAGAGGCGAACAAGGGGGAGCAGTCCACTAGGCGAGTAGCCTAGGCGTGCCAACCTGTTGGGCGAACAGCCTAGGTGTTCCAGCCTATTGAGCGAGCAGCCTGGGCGTGCCAGCCTATTGGGCGAGCAGCCTGGGCGCTCCAACCTGATGGGCGAGCAACCTAGGCGCTCCAACCCTTTGGGCGAGCAGATCAGGGAGATGAGAGCTGTGCAGGCGCCTATAGGCGCTGATTTGGACAGCCTGGGCGAGCTGCTTGGGCGCGCGAACAGCCTGGGCAAGCTGCCTGGGCGTATGAACAGCAAAATTAGTGTCTCTGTTGCGCGGGACCAGCTAGGCGAGCCACTCCAATCGGGCGAGTAGACTATCCTGGGTAAGCAGGCTGTCTGAGGTAGAGTCTTGGGCATTGAGGCGCCTAGGATGGACGCCGATAATGATGCAAGCGCGCGAGGCAATCCATTAGGTGGGCAAAAAAATGCTCCTTTGGACTCTAGCTTGAGAAGTTTTGGAGAGGAAGTAGCTTTGGGCGAGCAAGAGACTGAAAAGCAGTGTGCAATGAACACTTTTGGTGGTGGGAGTCCAACTCCTCCAAGTGTAACTTCTCAAAATCGAATTTCTTGAGACCTTTCTGGCAGCGGCTTGGGCAGAGCTTTACACCCTCGCGCCAAGAAGCATCGAGGCAAGGTAACCCTCGATGACGATGGGTCCAAAGTAAGTACTATCTCCAGCACTTTAAATACGGACACCGATATTTTGCGAGTTGTCTCCGCCTACCACATCCTTCCAGCTGTGTTGTGTCGTCAAGCCGAGATGGGTGAGCCTGCCTCTGACGACTCCTCTGGTGACATTGCCATCTATGAGGAGATGTTAGAGGCTGGGCTTAGGTTCCTTATGTCTCAGTTTATATGTAGTATTCTCAGGTACTTTTCTCTCACCTCGGGGCGATTGTCACCCAATGGATGGAGGGTTTTGCTATGCTTTCTGGTGCTGTGGAGTAAAGTGCATCATGATGATGCTTCTCCAGAGGAGTTTCATGGAGCTTATACCTTGAGCGAGACCCCTACTCCTAATCGGGGTTGGTATTACTTTACCACGAAAGATAAATTGCTCACCGGATTGCGATCCAACTGTCATAGTTAAAAATCTCGCTTTTTATTTGTTGGTGGAGAGTAGGCTACAGAGGCGGATAGGATTTTGATACCGAGTGGATGGAGTGTCCCTAAAAAACTTGGTATGCCACACACTTACTTTATCTCTTTTACTTGGTGTTTTCCATCTAGGTAACACTTTATTTGCTTTACAACTATAGACAGGGAGAAACTTGTGTTTCGCCTCTCTGATAGGAGTTCTCCTCTTTCCAAGGTGGCGAAGAAGACTTCCAAGTTGATGACGCGCGGCGCCTCTCAAGTGACCTTGCCGCCCGAGGCGTATTCTTCTCAACCACCTCCTCAAGTGGCACCTTGGGCACCTTCCCATAAAGTGGCTCCTCCAGAGGCGCCTCCTTAGGCGAAGACTCCTCCAATTGGACCTTCCACTATAGAGTCTCGTTTGTTGGCCACACCTTTTGCCCCCGTTCAACCACCCCTCCTATGGGGAACCTTGGTGGAGTACCTTCTCAGATCTGCTCAATGTTAGGTAATGCACTGGTCATAAAGGATCGGCTTGAGTTATTTTTGTGCAAGAAGGATGTGGATGAGATTGGAGCCTTGGGTACGGAGGGAATTCTTAGCTCTTTCCTAGAAGGCTGGGCTCAGGTAAGAGTTTATTTTCTCTTATTTCTCCCTTCCGTAAGTGTCTGACCTTCTTTTGCCTTCTGTTTTTCTTCAGACTTCATTAGCATCTATGTGTTTACTTTCAAGGACCCTTCTTTTATCACAAGCTAAAGCATGATCATGAAGTTGTGCAAAATGATCTTCGTGCTGCTCAAGAGAGGATAGCCAAGCTTGAAGATGCTAGCAGGATTTATGACGCTAACCTTGTGGCATCTCGTAAGAGGGCAACTGGACTTGAGGCTGAGCTTTCGGCGATCCATGGAAGGATGACCAGACTAGAGGTTGAGCTTGCTGAGGTCCATGAAAGGACCACGCTCAGTGAAGCTGAGCTTTCGGCGGCCTATAGGAGGGTGGCCACACTCGAGACTAAGCTTGTGGAGGTCTGTGAGAGGGCCACGCTCAGTGAGGCTGAGCTTTTGGCGGCTCATGGGAGAGCGGCCACGCTCGAGACTGAGCTTGTGGAGGTCCGTGAGAGGGTCATGCTCAGTGAGGCTGAGCTTGCAAAGACTCGCGAGAAAGCCATGCTCAGAGAGGCTGCCCTTGAGGTAGAGGTGAAGGCTACTCAAGAAAGAGCTTCTCGGGCTGAGGCAAACCTGGAGAATGGCGTTCTAGATACTTTCATTGATGGTTATGAGGAGCTCCGAGGAAAGATTTTTGCTGCCTTCCCCGACATTGATGTCTCAGGTTTCTTGCCAACTGAGGCACCTGAGGATAGTGCTGGGAGCTCTGATGGTGCCGAGGGTGATGATGACAAGGTGGTGGAGGATGACGACCATGAGAGCAGTTAGAGTGCTAGAGACTTTTTGATTTTAATTTGTCTTTAGGAAATCATTTTGTGGTCCAATTTTTGTAAAAGTGGTTTTTGCCACTGATGCTACTTTGAAGCTGAGAAGTTGAATATGAAAATGCAAAGGATTTATTCATTTTTAAAGCAATATCAAATAATAGCCCCACAAAAGAGTACAAAAAATAATAAAACCAAGTCTCTAACTTTTCTACTTTCTACTCTTAATGTGTCATTGGTAGTACCTCTTCAAGTGCTTCGCATTCCATGGATGTGGTAAGACCTTCTCCTCAGAATTCTGGATCTTATAAGTGTTTGGCCTCACTACCTCTGTTATGAGGTAAGGTCCTTCCCAATTCGGTCCTAGTTTTTCTTCACGTGAATCTTTTGTGGTGAGGATCACTTTCTTGAGGACCCAGTGTCCTGGCTGAAAGGAATGAGACTTCACCCTCGAGTTGTAGTACTTTGTCATACGGCGCTTACACTCCGCATTGCGGACCACAGCCATCTCCCTTGTCTCCTCTACCAAGTTGAGGTTGATGCAGAGTCCTTCCTCATTGGTGTCGGGGTCATAGTGTTGGACCTGTAGAGAATGCACCCCAATTTCCACAGGGATAATTGCCTCAGTTCCAAAGGCGAGGGAGAAGGGAGTTTCTTCAGTTGGAGCTCTTGGTGTGGTGCAGTAGGCCTATAATACCCCTGGAAGCTCGTCAACCCAAAGACCCTTCGCCTTTTCAAGCCTTGTCTTTAGATTGTGCAGCACCGTTCTTACCATAACTTTCGCTTGTTCGTTTGCCTGCGGGTACACCGGGCTGGAATGAGGCTGTTTTATCTGAAGGTCATAACAGAAGGAGTTCAGGAGCTTGTTGTCAAACCGTTTGATGTTGTCACTTATAATGGCATAGGGTA